AGGTTACCAATGCACCACTTTATTTTGGARCGACAGCTCTATAAGGAGCAACATATTGCAAATAAAATGTCTCTTTGCTTGTCTTCCCAGAACACTTTTCTTCCTTACCTCTCTCCTAATGGTGCTGAAAACCTTCTTGAAGACTGTATTCTACACTGTTTTATTTGTCAGATGTATGTGCCAGGAAGAGGCTGAGAGGTGGAACAAACCAGAGCACTTCTTCAGGCRTGAGCTGTTCTTCCATCAGGATTTTGGAGGCACCATTTTATTAAAGGAGCTCTTCTGCAGTGTTATCAGAGACAAGACATTCTGTCCATGCRTTATAAGCCCTTTTCTTTCCCACAGTGAGGCTGGAGCATTTMCAGACCCTGCTGGAGCTGGAATTGCTGCCAGCTGTTCTTCCAGCTGTGTGTGTGGAGTCGGTCACCAACGCTCCCACATTCACCTCAGACAAACCCAACAGCAGCAAGATGCCCCYATTGCTCAGTCATTCTTAAACAACATTCCTCTCATTCCTGAGGAAACAATTTCACACCTTTTCCTATCAATTGTGCTTTGATGGACTGAACTCTGGGATTTTAACCCCCCTCAACAGAGGCTGTGAAGGTTCTGCAGTGCCTGAACACCATCTGTACAGGTACCTGCTCCCCACACGAGCCTTGGGSTATCAGCTGTGTGCCAGCATCCAAATTCCCCCAGAAGCACCCCTGACAGCTGCACTCTGAGCTCACTTAGGACACAAAATACATTACAGCAGAAAATACCCTTTCTGTAGGGAAATATTCCCTGARCATCTCCCTAAAAATTATATTCCCTCTGATGGTTTTATCAATCAGAAGCTTTTTTCTGTTGCCTTTCTTTCCTTTGGTCATGAAATCTAAAAAAAACCCCAGCTGCAATAGCCTATATGGGCTATTTTAATTTAAAATAATTGTGTACATACATATATATAATTTGTGTCCTCATGGGGTATAGGCATTATTAAATCAATTTTGTTGTTGTTAAGTTYCCCTTTGGTAAAAAAGGATATTGGATTTCTAAACTAATTATACAGGAAAGAAGTCTAGTCCCAAGTTTAATRGAAACCTTGGACTGCATGCACTCAGGTGGTTTAATTTCCTTAATTCTATCCAAATACCTGATCAGCTCAATCTAACAACGCTGTAATTTGCAGACACAGGAAAATAAGCAATTATTTTACTCACCACTGCACATTTAGGTGCTCTGTTTGTAAGATGACTGTTGCTTTATCCCCCGGTGAGCGAATCACTAACACTTGTCATGCACCTACCTCCTTGAAGCTGGGCTCCTTCTCCACTTTCATGTCTGAAATTCAACAGACAGAAGTTTTAACTAAATTCTTTATTTTTATAGCTTCAGGAGCCTTGGAAGTTGTGACTCTCCTTAGCCACAACCCAGGAGCTCCCCATTCTCTGTAGCACTCTTGAAATCATCCAGAGGATAAAGAGAAGGAATCCTAATGCCACTGAAGATGTTTTTGCAGGAGATACACCAGTAATCAACACCAGTGAGGTTCTTCCTTCCCTGGAGAAAACTGACTTGCCAGGAGGARTTACTTGCAGTAAATACAAAGCACCAGCACGACTGCACCTTGCCTGTGTCATCTGAAGCTGTGGAAATGGTATTCAGGATCTTTGGGTCGTCTTCCTCTYGCTTGTTCCTTCAGTAAGGTCTAATAAACCTGGGAGGAGGGATACGAGGTCACACCTTGTATCCTCCGCATTTTGTTAAAGGAGCCAACGTTCAATATTCCAGGTTTCCAAGGAGAATCTTTGGCTTCAGATCAAACAAAAGCTCTTCTGTCTTAAGAGGTGCAATTTCTCAACTAAACGAGCCTAACTGACTCCATGCTCAGTGTCAGAGCTGGGAGAACAGAGACCATCATCTTCACTTTCAGACACAGGGAGATCTACATAAGCCAAAAACTGAGGAACAAGGAGCAGTTGGTTATAGCAAAGTACAGCAAAGTAAAACCAGGTCATAAATAATTCCATCCTTGCTGCCAAAAGATGAAATGAATTAATTTTAAAAAAAATAATCAGCCTTTCCTTGTACTCAACAATCTGGGGAAAGTATTCCAATTGACACGCAGTTATGCCCAACTCTGTAATATAATTGAAATTTCAATATGACCTACAGGTTTCATAGATTTTGCAAGTTGCAGTAGCAGGAGAGAGAGAATCAAGAAGGTAAAGATAAGCTCTAGCAAGCAGTAAATGGATATGCTGATTCCCTAGCTTTCCATAAATTAATGGGTCTAGTCTAGTAAGTGTCATATTTTAAGCACAGCAGAATCAAACAGTAATTTTTCAGATTTAAAATGTCATCACAGTGYGATGTGTACTAATTCTTGATCACTACTTTAGATCACCTACAGTAATTAATGATTGCCATTAGTTTTGTATGTAGAGTCTGACAGATAACACTGCTCAGTTGTGCTGTCAGTGGAAGGATTATTTGAATAGGTCAGCAAAAGTAAAGGGAYGTCTTAAACCAAATTCTTCAGTCTCACTAGCAGAGCCTGCACCTGGCAAACACTTCTGCAATATCTGAATTCAAGTCATGCATGACAATTTCAGTAAAAGCAATTAATCTGTGTCTGATGCTCACCCTTGTGTACACAATTATATAAAAATACCTGTATTTGTAGGACAGTGTGAGAAAAAAGGAAAACACTAAAAGCACACCGCATTTCCACCCAGATAACCCAGATTTCAGAGACCACATTTTTTAAACATACCAAAGGTGTTCCYACAGAAGGCCATGTCCTATGACACGTTCAGAGCCTGGTAAGTTGGAGGAGGGATAGAATGAATAGGGAATGGGAGCCTGAAATAGAGCTACAGGGAAAAGAGGAAATGGTGTGGGATCCAAAGATCTGGGATAACGTATTTCCTGAGCACTTGCTGCTGCTGAGACACAAGCCTTGTCTGCCTCCTTTAGCAGGGGACTGAACACAACTGAATATGTCAAACAGCAACTACAAGCATGGAGTTTTTCTCTGTTTTGCAGAGAAACACCAGCACATTTTGGGGCAATTGGCCTTTTCCCATATCCACATGCAGTTTGTGCTCAGTGTGTGCGCCCAGCTTGTGTTTCCTTCACGTGCATTCGGGCTCAAATTGGGAAAAACCACCTCAYTGAATTCAACTGGATGAGGCCCTCATTTACCATTTCTGCTTAGGAAAAGCATCAGTGTTGTCAGGTGAGTGTTTATTCAGTGATGGGTGTAATTTATAAAATCACAAACCAGCAGTCCCAGCCAATAGAAAACTTGGAAACGTCACTCCTCCAAAGAAAACAGGATTTGCAAAACCTTGCTGGAATTCTTGTAATTTTTTTTTGTTCTTTGTGTGATCTCACCGTAGTGCACATAGCAGCCCCCATAAATATATGCCCTACCTATATAATATGTACTCCATATGTCCTACAAACACCACAAAGCAAAGCCATTCTTCATGGTGACACTGGGACCCAAACGAGATATCATTGCACATTAAAATTGTATTAAACTAATCAAAAAATAGTTGAACATTGCTAACAAAACAAGAGAAATACTAAACATTAAAAGACAAAGAGACTTTTCAGTGTTCCATAAAACCACGYCTTTCGGACAAATTAATTATTTGCATCATAAAATAAATCCTAACAGTGAAAGAAAATATTCCAGAAGGAAGTGATGAGTAAAAAAGCTTCAGGTGATTTTTCATTACATTAAAAACAATTCCCATTCTCATAAAATATGCAGAACTTTACATCTTAAATAGTATATTTACCTTCAAAAATTACTTTCTTTTTAATCTTGCAAGAAATTAAACCTTAATTGGGTAGGAAAGTATTTGGAATATATCCAGAAATAAAAAAAACTACAGCTATTCTCCTGTAAGTAGCAGAGCATCTGGCAGGAGTTTTCATCTACCTTCAGGAAGATACCTCAAATTAAGTCAACACTGTACTTGGTTTCCATGATCAGAGTTAATATTCTGCAAACCCAAACTGACTGCTTTGTTTATTTCATAGTTTCAATTTCCACTGCTGTTCCTTCACCCTGGCAAATAAATGGATGCATGAGGGGCTCGCCCTCTGAATAAATAATAAAATCTTAACTTGTCAGATCTTCCTTTGCCTCGAATGAAAAACATTTCATTCCTTTGTGATGCTGTGGAAGCTAAATCTTGTTAGAGACTTAATGAGCAGCCTTGGAATAAAAACTAATGATGTGTTCGAGCTACATCACAACCCTGATGAACATGAGAGTTATGTCTGAGAGCAGATGGAAGGAAAGGAAGATGCACTATACAAAATATGTCTTCATTTGAGGAGTAAAGTATTACTCAGTGGCATTATACATTGTTAATAAACTTTCTTTATCTGAAACTATAATTTAATATTTATGTATCTAATTTACATGTGACAAAGTAGCATATTCTAAAATTAGAGTGTAACCAGCAAACTATTAACTACTATAAACAATACCAAAACACAACTCAAACATATTTTAAGGAAACAATAGATACATTTTGGACTGGGGAATGAYTTCAATTGCAGATATTGTTTTAAATACAGCTGTCAATTACATCTTGAAAGAATTTCTTCAAGCTCAGGAGAAGTTTTCTGCTTAGGGAGTCCTGGGTATATACATAAAGACCAAGAGCACACCACCAAAAAGTCCCCTATTTGTTACTAGCAGGAACAGTAATAATTGTAAATGCTGAAATTGTGGGAGAAAWAATTTCCAGTATCCATGTTATATGATGCACTAGACAATATCCCCTTTGGAGCAGAAACTAGAGAAAAATATCGTGCCCTTTATTATCTCTGTGGTTTCTCAYGKGTAATAGACAGCAGAAGAATTGCACTTATTTTAACATTACAGTGTTAGATTGCAGTTCACCTTTTAGAATATTAGTGGCTGTAATATTTATGATAGGTTGTGCCTGATGCAAAGATGAATAAAGATGTGCATTTAAATTAAAAAAAAACAAAAACAAGCAACCACTGACAGAACCAACAGTGGGGCTTAACATAACAAACATGCACTAACCCTACACTTTATGCAAAACTAAGTTCTTCCAGGAAACTGTAACCAACTGCTGACCTTCCACAAAGGTAAAGGTTTTGTCCCTTGGTAATAACGTTTGGACTTTGTAGTCGAATTCCAGTTTATGAGCTCATTGTCTGTAAATGTGCTGTTCCACTGTGATATCCTTTAGCTGCCCTTGAGCTTCTGCAGAATCTGCAATCTTACAGTCACTTTTATTTAAGGTTTTATTGAGCCGCAAAGTGAGTCCCCTTCAGTGCTACACAAACAGGCTTCCTTATTCATCCTCTTCAGGTTCCTGTGGTAAAATTGGTGTCTCCTCCTTTAAACAAGCACTAAAAAACCCAAGGATTGTGCTGTAAAGGTGATATTTGCTTTTCTCGGAAGCGATGTTATGACCTTCATCCGGGTAGATCTGGCAGAGGAGAAAGGAAAAAAAGTAAATAGTTTTTAAAGGCTTTTCAAATATTTAGGGCTCTAATTTTCTTTCTCTGGTCTTCAAAATGTTTTAGATGACAACAGGATGATAAYATTAGTTTTATGGCATCGAGGAAAGCTAATAAAAGCCTAAAACTCATTCTCTTAGAATTTGAACTTACATAAAACAACCACTGCAGTGGGATCCGCAGAAGTGAAAAAATTGATATTCTCAGCCATTGTACTTACAGTTTACTTAGCTGGCRTTTTCAATAGTGCCTAGGCATCCAAATCCCATTAACATCCATGAGGATTAATTACCTCATGCTTTTAGRGACCTCTCAATATCTCAGCTTCTAAGTGTTTGGCAAAAATCCTTTTTATTCRTATTTTTAACTATCTTCCTATCTAGTGTAAGGCCCATCTTCTCTCTCTCCTAGGGCAGATGTGGGCATTTTTATCTCTTAAAACGAATTCCACTGAGAATTTCCCCCAAGTGAGGCTGAGCCAACATCTGCAGGCAGAATGAGGAAATCCAGGCCACAAGAAAGAGACCTGAGGAGWCCTGAGGCAAAAATCTGCAGCTGCCTCCACAAATTCAGGTTATCACAGGGCTGCATGAGAACAGCTCAGCAGGGCTCTTCTGGGAGAACTCTGCCCTCCACATCACCTCAGCTGAAACCTCGAGGGCAGCAGAAAAGATTCTGCATTCAAAGTCCTTTTTCCCTTCCTTAAGAGRCACTGATCCCCTTTTGTTGCCACCTCCTCCCTGACAGGAGCTCACACGCTCTGGGGAAATTACAGGATCACCTAAAGCCCAGCAAAGTCGAGGTTTGCAATGTCCAACAAATATCAGGGATAYTGGAGATGTGAATTCAATCAAAACYCTCTGCCAGTGCCATCCACATACTGCAGGTGATTCTCGTGCAAGCCCTGCCCTGGCAGACGCTCTGTTGTGCTCCTTCAAGAAATTTAAATGTTGAAAATAAGAGAAAATTACTCTCCTGTCACCCAATACCTTTTTAGGTAAAACGGGACTGAAGTAGTGACATCTCCATGTTASAAAGGGTTTCTATGGATTCCAGAGCACTTCATAGTGTTGTAGGATAAAGAGGTGGAAAAAACAAGGATAAGAGAATGGAGAAAGAGCCCAGGAGAGTGACAAAATGATACGGCTCCTAACATCCATACTAACAGTGAGGAAAATGGGATTAAACAGAGTTCTAACTGCAAATTGAGGTGATRCCACTGTTGTGGTGGAGACAGTCCTTTGCAGTGAAGAAATAACAACAGGAGGTTAAATGTTCAACTGTGTTTACAGGAGAAGTCACAGGTTCACATACCTGCATAGTGTAATTAGCCCCAGCTTTTATTAGATGCTTAATTAGTTCTGCTGAATGCTGGAAGTGAACTTTAGCTGCAAGAAAACATTTGATATCATTAGAAACARCAACACTAATATGAAACACTTATCTGTTACACAGCTTTTGCTGAAAACATTCCCAGGCTCTGTAAACACTGGTTCCAAAGCTCACTGTCCTCAAGGCCAGCCCCACCAGGGTGCTACAGCAGAGATTCTGGAGGAGCTGGAAGCCTCAAGGGAAGCCAAACTTTCCAGACACTGTATGAGAACTCCCCTGTGTACCCTTGATTTACACACACTGTGATGGCTTAGAGACAAACCTTTCTGTTTGAACATGGTGGCTGCATCACTGTAATTAATGCCTGCATCAAAGCTCATCTTTAGACTTACATCAGTTTACAAAGTTCAGAAAAACACACTGCAGTCAAATCTGCAATTACAAATTATCACAATTGATGCATTTTATTATTCCATTTAAAGTGTTAGAACTTACCCTGTGTTACTCATTCTCTGCTTTAATCTACTGCTAAAAGTATTGGTGCTATTAAAAGGTTCTGTGCAGCTTCAGCATCAGAAAATTCCGCATTACCTTGTAATTAATTAGATGAAAAGATTAACTTCCCATTTGGTGATGTACTTCACTGGCTGTACTGATAATTCTGCAGAATTTGTATGAATTTAAAACAACATTAAAGATGTATGTTGTTCTATTAATAATTCATATAATATCTTTCACTAGCAAGACAGTGGCCCGGAAGATTTAAACAAATTATAACATACAGCAYCTAAAAGGTGCAAATCCTCAACAAAGAAAAGCGTCACCAGTTCAGAGTTAGAAATGACAATTGAAACAAAAGAAAAAATGCTATCAGATGGAAAATGAAAGTGAAAATGTACTTGCTGGGTGTGTGCCTCACCAGCCCTTGAATGCCTATTAGAAGCTGTGACTCCAAATTGCATTTACAAACACTCACCATCAGCTGTCCCATGAACTATTAGCAAATCCACTTCTTTTAGACCATGAAGATTGTGTAATACACTTGATGCCTAGTAAACAAAACACAATGGTGTGATTGAATTGCATTTTAAGAGTAAAACAGTCATCTTAAGTTACTTGTTTATGCTAATTTACCTGATAGGTAATTTCCTCTTTTGACGGAATCCCAAGGTATCTTTCTGAAAAAGCTGATGCTGTAAGAATAAAAAAACAAAAACAAACCCTGTGAATTCCAACTTATTTCTATTTTAAAACTCATCATTTCTGACCTAGAGTCAGAAGCTATTTAAGTCATGAAGTCAACAGAGATGTTCATTTAGAGAGGCAGAATATACCATTTTGATGCACCATTTAAACTCACTTTCAAATGGTTAAAAAAAAGAAAACAACCAAAACCCAACGAACTCCCTCACAAAAAAAAGAAAAAAAGAAAAAAAAAAATCAACTCAACCAACACTAAAAGAACCCAAACCAAAACACCAACTAAAACCTAAAGAAAAGTCTAACAGATCATTAATCTGGTCTGGTTTCCTGTGCATCATAGTTCATAGCCTGTGCCCAAAACTTCAAACACAGAACCAAATAACCTGTGATTTAATGAAAATGTGGTGGATATTGTCAGGAATTCACTGCTAGCCTTAGAAGATYCACTCCTAATAAAAATCATGGTTCATGCTGATACTCCTAAAGGATTTTTAGAAGATGAGGTAACTAAAAAATCAGTGCTGTCGATAATACTGTGTCTGCTGCAGGGTTTGGTGAACTGTCCCAGTGCTAGCTTCACTTTCATTTAAAAAAGAGACCAAGATGGTGAAGTGAAATCTCATTAATATTTTTACATTACCTGCCCTTAAAAAAATAGTAGCTCCATGAATAAAAGGTAATTTGAATAAACCACCACCCAGGTGCAGGGCAGGCAGTACTCACCATACAACTTCATGTCTGTGATTGGAGCCACCACAGCTCCACATTTGAAGAGCCGCTCACTGGATTTCAGGATCATTGATGYGATGTAGCCACCATACCCCTAACAATGGGATTGAGATTTTTGTTAATTTATTTGGTTCTACCAAGAATAAAGCTAATTCTGCTAATCCAGAGGTATTTTTTTTTTACATTTTAAGGGTGCATAAAGATCTCAATGACCTGGTCAYGATCTTTAATCTATGCAGTTAATAATAACAAATATGGTTCATTCCTTCACCATCTCCAAAGTCTAACACATCTGCCCATAAGTGTGAATGGACACACTGAAGAAAATAAAAAATAAGAGCTGAAATTTCAAAAGAGTGTGCAGAACTGAGTTATTYCTTTCCCATAGAAATTTCAGCCCAGGAGACCAAGAGCCATCCAGATCTGTTCATGTGCAGGAGTAGACTTCTCCTAAGRAAAAAATTCTGAGTGGGCACCTGTAACTTGTATAATTCAAAGAGTTTAGGAGAATAGCAACTTTCCTCTGCCTCTGGGTTTTCTCTGCTTTTACTTTTGTTTAATATTCTGTATGTGTCTTGCCCAGTAGCTCCACAGCACAACTTCAATCCAAGGATAGGCATTGCCAAGTTATTTATTATTTATTCCATGTTTTCATTAAGAGCTTGCTTAGTTCTCCTGGGAGTTTCTTCCCTTTTTGCTCATGCCCTTGCTTCCAGCCAGGCATTCCAGGACAAAAACACCACCGAGYGAAATTTTTAGAAATTCTTAGGACCATTTCACAGTGACAATGCTATYCCATACATCCTGATGCAAGAACATGTGGTGCCACACTCATCTGCTGGCTTTCTGTGGTCACAGCCTAATTGCCATATTTTCAAGAAAGAAGTTTGCTGTAGAATTACAACTCTTTTTAAAACTCTCTTTTCACTTCCATGAATAAAACCACAAACTCCATGGAGTCTTTTACACAGCTTGGCTGTTTGAAAGTTCAGAAAGGCTGTTGGACCATGCCTCACTTGGGTTTGCACCCCTCACAGAGATAAGGAAGGGGGCAYTGGCAGATTGCCTGGCAATTTTCCCCACTGTGCTCTTCCTCTTGTGCCTCATTAACATCACCAATTGTGACAAGAATTTTATTTCTGCGCTGCTCTGAAACCTCTTAGAGAGCTCTTTGAAAGTGTGTGTAAGTCTAGCATTAAGCCATTCCAAAGTTATCTTATTTTCAAGCCAAGTGCATACTGTTTCCATCAATAAGGCAAATTTAATGCATAGACAGAAAAAAAAAACTTGTTTCCCTATCACGTTCTTGTAYGTGATAAAAAAGAAATGAGTTTTAAAGTAGATTTTTAATTGACTCTAAAACAAGCWGAGTGAAGGAAAATACAATTAACCCTAAGAAGCTGTTAAATAGGGTTTTTTTWATTATTAATTATAAAACTGACTTTTAAATTTTATGATTTTTTTTCTTTAGACAGTAAAAAAAAAAAAAAACCTCTGAAAGATTAACTTGGAAAGGGGAAATTTCCCTGAATTCAAAGCAGTGTTGAAAGCTTATCGAATTTCCCACTCTTCATTCCTCAACACTTCTTTCAGAAAATAAATGCAGGAAYATGGTAATCAATAATATTTTGTGAAAGAAAAGGAAATTGGAGGGTAGGCCTTAGCAGGTTTTTAAAGCCATGGTTATATGCATGCTCTATGGTAACTGTCTCATCACATCACTATTGAGAAACAAGGTACTGCTGAATCTCTGGGAGAAAACAAGGGAGAATTTTTGAGCARCAACGAAAAGAATTTCTGGAATCAATAAAAAGCAATTCTGGATGCTTAGGGATTTCATTCCTGAAACAGTATTTTCAATCATTTAGGAAGCTGATAYGGAAAAATGTTGGTGCCTCTATGCACGTGTACTTTCGTATACATTGGTAACATGCATTAAAACCTGAACAGAAATGTGTGCCACGATCACCTGGTGGATGAAATTCACCCTGCTTGAACATCCTGAGTTGGAAAATCTCTGTGTGCTCCCCTCCAACCCAAATACTGCTTTKGACCCGAGTGAAATTCTTGCAGTGACAATTTCTTTAGCTCAAGGAGTGCAGCAGGAGMTCAGATCTTTGAGGAAGGTCATGTYCATGTGAMATGCTAATAACAGTCACAAACATTAGCCAGCCCTCAAAATGCTGCCATGCAGGAGGTAAATGTCAATCTCCTCATCCTGCATCCATCCAGACACACTGAGACAGGCAGGTTTAAATGACTTGCCTGAGGCTGTGGAGTAACTCAGCAGCAGAGTGGGGATGGCAACTAAGGCACCTCATTCATGGTGAAACACATGCTGCTCTTAAAACTGATGATTGGGGGGTGCCTGGTCATGGTTTGTCATTGCTTTAAGCTCAAAGGCACAAAACAGCTTCATTTTTAATAAAAAAAAACTTAAAAAAAACCTAAGAGGTTGCACATGCTAGTTCACAGATGAAGCAGCAGTTGTGTGATGCTCCTAATTGCTGCTTTTTAATAGAAGTCAGTAAAATGCTGTTTAGTTTGCTACTCAAAGTCTTTGCCTTGCTGTATCTCATGCTAGGGGCAATGACATGCACACAGCTGATAAAACAGCAGAGGTGAGATTTCTCACTGGTGCAACAAGGAGCTTGCTGACAGCACCACAGGGCTGGCACTCAGCTCAGCTCAAGGGTCAGTAAAACGTTCAGATATAAAACCTGTTTTAGGACAACGATGTCAGTTTAACTGCAGCACAAACATAAAACTAAGAAACGAGCTTTCACGAAAACAAAGCCCACATTACAAATTTCTAGAGAAAGCTGAATTTTCAAGAAATACTTTCTCATTTGGATTCTGAAATACAAATACTACTGTAGCATCAAACTGATCTTATTGACTTAAATACCCATTCTGAGGAAAAAATACTATACAGAACAGACAGTGAATTATAAAAGGATTTTTTAAAATAACTGAAACTGTCACAGGAATATAGAGATATATATTTGTTTATGAACTGACAGTACTTTCTTAAAGAATCACGACGATACATCCTTCTATTTTTGCACATTACCTTTCCAAATATACCCAATCTCTTGGGATCAATGAAGGGCTGCTTCAAAAGGTATCTGAAAGGAAAAAAGTTTCTTTTTTAATTTTGACATMGTAAAATGGTGGATTTTACTTTCTCAATATAGTATGTAAAGAACAGCATTAAGGAATCGTCATACATGCAGATCAGGCAGAAGAAATTACATCCATACAAATAGTACTGCATTGGGAAATGTGATTTGCTTCCTAATTTATTCTTTATATGGCAAACAGTTGCTGTTTGGCCCATCTCACCTAATTTAGATATCTGAATTTAAGCACCTTGTCTAAATGATCCATTTAAATCTGCTTTTCAGTTAAAGGAGAGAAGAGAGATACCCTTTAGCATTCCTACACATGCTGGAAACCTCTCTCCATCTGGGGAGAATCATCCTTCAGAACTGCCAGGACTTTCCACTGACTGGAGCTTAAATGGCTTTGACCAGGTGCCTAGCACCAGCTAAAGGAGGATAAGATGGAATTGAACTTCTTGAATTCAGATAATTATACAAATAATTAGTTCTCTCGTCAAGGCCATTAATCATTGACGGYGAATTTTACACAGAAAAGGACAGAATAACCTGAGGGGAAATTTCACACACAGCTGCCTATTCATGGAATGGTTGAAGCATCAACCCTTTCAAAAGAAGWAGAAAAAATAAAGCTACATGTGACTATTTCACAGATGGAAAATATTATTTTCTGCAGCTGGCRGACTTATATCAGTCTAAGAATAATAATACAAATGAGAAATAACAGGCATTTGCCCAAATTTTGCTYTCATTTACACCATCAGAACTCCATTTGCTTTGTGTGATTACTCCAGAACTSTGTGGTGAAAATGAGAGCAGCATCYGMTGGTATARWCCTAAAATAYTGTAACACAAGYGCATTTAAAYRTTAATGTGTACAGCAAGAAATTCACTGCAGAGTACAGAAAAATGTGAATTAGCTCAGGTGGCATATTTAGATTGCACAGAGCAAGACAAGTTTAGAAAAAAGAAGCACCAACACAAGGAAAAAAAAAACCAAACCAAAACACCTCTATGATTTTTCGTTTGCTGTTTGAAATGAAACTGTGTTAAAAAAATAAACATTAACTATGCAAAGAAAACATKCTGGGCAGTTTCAGTTCAAACTGCTCATTCCTCCAGGTGGAGGCAGGGTGAAAGACAAGAAGAGTTTGCACATACGTACTCTATGGCTGCAATTTGGTCCTTCACTTCCACTGATCCTAAGCATCGGTGAACCTCCTGTAGGATCTTGAGGCCTTGAAATCCACTCCCTCTGCCATCAAATCGAGCTACGATGACATTATCAGAGTTGACAAGCACTGAGTCCCAGTCAATGTGAAACTTATCTGTAACCAACTGGCTGCCTGGAGCTTCATCACTGCAAATACCAACACACCAGACACAAACGAAGACTATTGACAATGTGATGCGCCGTGCCGAGCTCTGATATTTTATTTAACCTGCGTGCCAGAGTTCACTTGGTTATGCAATCCTGCTGAGCTACTGTCACTTCCATCAATACCATCCCATTAGTGCTGCTATCCCTGCAGCAAAATAATTTCTTTAACTTTATAACCACTCTGTTGTGGTGCTGCCAACACCTGAATGTATTTTTGTTGAAGGACACAGGAAATTAAAGYGGGTAGTGCTGCTTGTAATAAAGTGAAGAAAAAACCCAAACCATAATCACTAATGGCTAGCTCSGTTCTGAGAAGGCTCATGCAGAATCTGTAAAGTCTCCATAAACACACAAAAGGTAAATTCATTCAGCACTCTGATTACCATTTTGTAGGATATATAATACTATTAAAAAGGATCCCATCTTAGAAAACAAAAATAATTTCATTGTTGTACCCGTGAATGGAYTTTTTGAAATAGAGTACAAAGAAGACTAAAGTATACACAGGAGAAAATTATATTTTCTCCATCCAAATTCAGAGCAAGAAATGGGTGCAGGCAGGAATGATAAGTCTATTTTATGACCAAAAAAAAAAAAAGGTGGTTTACAGCACAAAAGGTGAAACAGAATGGGAGAATACAGTTTCTAGAAGAACAAGATTTTCCATTGAAGCCAAATACACTATTTTCCTTACAAAGAAAATAAAATGTCAGTTTTAAAAGGGAAGTTTGTCATTATTTTTCCYCAAGATAAACACAGAATAAAAGAGCAGGCTACCATGAAGTTGTACAAAACAGTTCTATGCAGGCTGCATCTGCCAGTTGAATGCAAATTAAAATGTAAAAGTGTCTGTGCTGGCTGTATGGAAATTAAATTGGAYGGTGTGTGGGAATATTCTGTCTGAAGACAGAAATTATTATTTTGCCAAACAGACTTATGTAAGCCTTGGGGAGGAAAGAGAGATAAAATATCCTACAATAAGTACTGTCTTATACACAAAATAATGTGCTGATTCAGTACCTCYTTTTGGCTGTTGGTAACACAGACCATCTTCAAGGTAATCACYCAGTTAATTAGCAAGCATATGATGAACTTGTGTTCTCAAATCCAGTCAGACCTATCTATTTAGCTGCTATATCATGTACTGAAATCAGGATTACTTGGTTACGGACTCAGTCACAACAGGTTATGCTTGATTTACCATTATCTTGTGCATCAGGTTTATACTTGGCTTTAAAAAAGAAGGAAAAGGCATTTTTTTGTGTGCTTAGCCAATGGAATTATGATTACATTAATTGCTAACAATGCAAAGCAATGAGTTTGGAAATACTGTCAAGTGAGCACTGCAGAAAACACACAAYTCAGGAAGTATATAATCATTATTTGCAATAAGGAGGAGAACAATACTTTCAATTTCTGCTCATTGCACAGAGCAACGTTTCCAGAAGCACTACACATTGACACAGATGTTTTCACGAAGTATTTATGTGTACTGCCAGTAATAGGAGCCTCAGACCTGTTACAATTACTTGTACCTTCTTTCAACTTTCCACAGTAACATTTCAGAAACATCCATGTTTGACTAGGTAACTTTCCAACATGTTAGCACATTCTACACAAGTCAAAATATGATCAGCCTGCTTCCCTGCCATCAAATATGAGAACAAAACTAATGCAGTATTCGCATTTGATCTTTACATGTTCTATTATCTAGGTTATACATACATCTGGTGCATGTATAAATAGGTATGTATATTAAAGAAAGTATTTCTAGGCACTTAGAGAAACTGCATTTGTAAGCCTTTCTCCAAACCTGAAAGTGCTTAAACCCAAAGTGTTTCAAATCAAAGGTGATATACTTGGGATAATTTCTTCTGCTAAAAAGGAACAACAAACAGAACACCAGCAAGTTTCTTAATGAGCAAGAACTGACCATAATGGTTTCTCAAGCTCCTTTTTGGAGGGCATAGCTGGGCTTCTTTTGGGCTCAGACTTCAAACACTACACATCTTCCAGCCCTGCATGATGGATTGTTTGATGTATTGCTTTTGGAAGCAATCTTCCAGTGGCTAGTTTGTTCCAACAATGCCCATATAAGTAGTCTGTGTTAGGCATTTAAAGCTATTTCCATTGAGGTACATATCAAAATTCCCACCAGCACCAAAAGGTCTCTCTACTCTTCAGTTGCCATTGTAAAATGATCCTGAGTGTYTGGGGTGTGCTTCTGTCCTCCTCAGGAAGGCAGCACATGTTCTGTGACCCTTTAGGCCCCATTCTTCACCTTTTTCGTGGGGTTTCTGCAAGTTATTTATCCTTTATACAAGTTTGAACACCATCCTGAGGGCTCTGTAACAAAGCCAGACTGGTCCTACAGGGCAGTAACAGATTTACAGCCTGGTTTGGGAAGTTTGTCCTGGTTTTACAGCATCTCAATGGTCAGGTTTTGGTTTATGCTTATCACTACTTGCAGTCTAATTATAATTAATTGTTGTTCAGTGTTACACTCTTCACAGAAAAGAGAATAATCTCTTCTTTCAGATTCTATAACCAAATTTTAAACCRAAGTCTCTGTTCAATACTCGAGTTGCAGCCCATGGGAACAATGCAGTGTTAGCAGAGAAGCTCTACTCTAAGTAATACTGCTCAGCCTCTCTGCTAGCAAGGCTGCAGAAAATTTTTTTCCATATTTTGCATCATTTAAAATGAGTAATATCCTTCACAAGTGAAAAGTACACAGGACAGCTGTTAATTGACAGGGCTACCATACCTCAGATCTACAATATTTCCCATTACTTGCATTATGTCTCTTTATATTTCTTTTAGTATTCTAATGACTTCTTCTCAAAGATGTRAAAAACCTTCACTTTCCAACCCTACTGTCCTATTGCCATCAGTCCTGAGAGTATATTCACTGCAGGCATAAACAGGTTTGATTGCCTGTGCAAGGCCTAAAACTTTCAACAGTTTTAACAGTTCAAAACCAGGTAAACCAACTCCTGTTTATGATCAAAACATAAAAAAAAACAAACAACAAAAAAAAAACCCAAAAAACAAGTTAACAAATAAACAAACAGAAACCTCTTGGAGACAATTCATTTGCTTTGAAGAATATTTGTTGTTTTTTTCTCCCTCAAATATCAGGACAATCTTTCCACTGATTCAGTCTGACAATATTCAYTCACATATTGGACAACTTTAAATGGTGTTAAATAATAGATACTGATATTTCATATATGCTAGGATACACATTTGAAGGACTGAGGTTAATTATGATCAAAGCAAAATAAAGAATTATTATCAACTCTGACTTTATAACCCAGATTAAATGCCAGAGTCTTTACTTAATCATTTCCTCTGTGTTACCAAGAAGTATGTCTTCCAACTTTTTTAATGACTAAGGTGAAACATAATGAGGAAATCAAGGATCTGAAATTTAAACTTTGATCTTAATTATATAGAAAAGAGATGGTAATCACTTTTTCAGGCAATTACTGTGCAGCASTCTAATATATAGCTACACTGTATGTTTTGCATGAGGAGGAAACTGAGTGTGAAATGTATTACTGGTTTAGGAGAACATATGCAAGAAAGGGAAGAGTTTTAATCTATTTAACATTTTATGGGTTCCTCATAACAACTCTAGAAAGAAAAATAGTGCCAGCCAACACAACTGGTTTCTACATGAGCTCTGTTAAGACAGTCCAGCCATCCAGATGGACATACATTTTCAGCAATACAACAATCTACTATCTGAGCCTTGCAGCTTGCTTTGGAGCTGCTAATGGACGAATGTTCACACAACCTTTATGCTGAAAGTTACAGGATAATCAAGTCCTGGTGCTTAAGTTGAGCTTGTGTCTACATGGAACTGAACTCAGTTCACACCAGGACCAGATTCCACTGRTACAGGTTTCCTTCCAGGATTCAGCCTTAACGCTCAGGCGTCTTAGAGCCGTATGCTGGAAGTTCAAATTTACCTGTAGACACCCTTGTATGAATACAGAAGCCTTATCATGGTCATGCAGCTTTGAAATGGCTACTGGAATTCAGTGATTTGAAAAAAAAACCCAAACAGATCACACCAACTTTCATTCCCATTATAAATTATCCCTTTCCTTTCCTTTCCTTTCCTTTCCTTTCCTTTCCTTTCCTTTCCTTTCCTTTCCTTTCCTTTCCTTTCCTTTCCTTTCCTTTCCTTTCCTTTCCTTNTCCTTTCCTTTCCTTTCCTTTCCTTTCCTTTCCTTTCCTTTCCTTTCCTTTCCTTTCCTTTCCTTTCCTTTCCTTTCCTTTCCTTTCCTTTCCTTCTCTCTTCTCTCTCTTTAGAGTGCTACAGAGATGGAAAGCAAACTCCACTTCTCTGCTAATACTCCACTTTTCTGTTCTTTTATCTTCTGTTTTTTATTTATCTAAGTGCACTCTGCCTGGCTCAAGATGCTTTATAGRATCTCCTTTCCAAAAAATGGCCATGCAATTAAACCACCACTCTCACCAAGGACATTGGAAAGCATTCATTTTCAAAGATTTTTCTCTCAATAGCTGGAATATAATGGTAATCATATCGGGGATGAGAATGTAAGAAAAAAAAGCTGAACAGTGTGAAAGACAGCACTTGTTATCAGCCACTAATTCTTGTCTAACACTGCTGGCAGCAAGAACAGGGTTTTTCTCCATCAGCCCCAACAGYAGCACTCTGGGACTCAGAAAAATCAAGTACATGGCAAATTGTATTATCTACACAACCAATCAGTGCTCTCTGTAAAATCTGCATGTTCTCCTTGGACCTGATTTTTTATTTTTTTTAAAGTACTACTTTTTTTTAAAGTAGTGCTTCTGATCATGAAATAAACCTTASGATGTCAACTTGGAGCTGTGTGGGTCAAGAAATTACCCCCTATACACCCACAGATATCCAATYGTTCTTCCTCAAGAGCTAGGCAGAATTTATAAGGCTCAAATAATCATCCCACAAGGGAACCTCCCATAACTTCAGTGACAGTTTGCAGCTTTATATTTCATTTGGGGACATCTTTAACAGAAAAAGGGATTGCTGGCAACCTTAGTTTTAAGTCTGTAMAAAGCTGCTGAAGAAATACAGCTCAATATAATATCTTTCTCTTCTAGGGAAGAGGAGGGCACAAAACATGCTGCATTACATGAGCCAGGACAGATATAAACTTTTCMGTTTCATACTTTCATTAGTGTACAGGGTTTTCTAAAAACAACTCCTGATAAAGCCAACATTGAGAATTCAGTATTGCAAAGATAAGGATCTGACTTAAAAGAAGCAATGTCTTCATGCTATGAATGTAACAATATGTATCCATAAGTTGATTAATTTCCTTTTTATTCCACATGCCTATCAGAAAAAAATAAAATAAAACAATTATAAAACATATCCATACATTATGACTTGGCCACATTATTCACTCACAGGGTACTGACAACTTTGGTAAGTTTAAATTCAGACCTTGCCTCAATACTGTTCTCAGTTCTGTCAACTAATACCTAAAAACATTTCGAAACAGTAATTTTTTCTCTTTTCCTTTTCTGTGATTTGTGGCCTTGGACTTCCCAGGTTTCTGATCTTTCCCTCCTGTCTCCTCTAGGTTTTGTGTGAGTGCATAACCCCATATTTTACCCCAGCTGTATGTAGCAGCTTCTGTATTTACTGGGATACTTGAAAAGGGAAGTGTTACACTGCCAACACCTTCGTGTTTCCTTGCTCTCAGGAAAAGGAATAAGCACAAATGTTTTCAAGTCCCTGCAGTGCTGCTGGGGTCAATTCACAGAGTCAGCYTGCCTTTGGCACTTGTGTAAGAGCTGCTTAAAATAGAACCATGCCTCCAAGATCGTGCTAGGAATTGTTGCAAAGATGAAATAAAATCCATGTGTCATGTTTCTCACGAGAAAATAAAAATATGTTTGTGAGACAATTAAAGCACAGAGCTGCCATAAGTGCTACAAGTGAACATTCTGAGCTTTAAAACACAAACTGGGCCTAGAAATAAGCAGGTTTGTGCCTTTGTGTCCTATTATCTGATCTGAGTAGAGGAATTTGGGATCATTCAAGCAGGTCACATCCAACAATAAGGATCTGTGCTGTCACTGAGGGATCATCTGCTCAGGTGACATAGCTCAGTAATGTGGCATTTTCATGAATGTAGCAGTGYACTCCTTCTGTGACTGCAATTCACATCAATTCCTTCCAGCTGGGACTGAAAGAAGCTCTGTAGGTCCAGGATAACCCTCTCTACCCATGCAGAGTTCAGGTGGAGGAAGGAGTGATGCCCTGAGCTGGCCACCACCACTTTTCCCCAGGTGGCTGCAAGCACATTCCTATCTCTGGTCTTTTCCTCTGCCACAGAACTGCAAGGGCTGACTCTCCCTGCAGAAAACATGCAAAAAGAACAGCACAAGGTTTCCAGGGAATACCACCCTCCTCCACTGAAGGTTTACTACCTTTCTACCTGTTGAAAAATCAACAGACTTTGGATCATGCCTCTCATGCCTTCAACCACTRATGATCAAAAATAGTTTTTCCTTCATTCCGGTGTTCCTAAAATCAGTTTTGCTTTATGCATCTCAACTGAGCCCCTCCTGGAAGCTCCACTCGTTCCTCTCAGGGATGAAAAGGAGCACATGCCCTGAGTGAGGTGCTCTGTGGGTAGGGTCAGTGTGGGTCCAGGAAAGACTGCAGGAATACTCGAAGCTACACCTTCAGAAACACCAGTGCCTCCCAAACATAAAAAGCACAGCAAAGCAGAGTTAGCTCAAAAAAACCCCAGGCATCTCTACCAGCCAGCACCTGCCACAAAATCTTCCCAAGAAMAAATCTTTTGATTTATCAACTCAAATCCATGAGATATTTTTCCTACAAGAGGTTAAAAAAAATAAATTCTAATTTCAGAGGTAGATTTCACTGAGAAGTACTTTTTCATTATTTTGAGTGATTCTACACAGATACTTACATTATTAAYAGAAGGGCATACTGGTTTCGATCCGTGAAATCTTTTGGCAGTGACAACTGTAAAGGGAATTCTTTTAAGAAAAGAGCAGAACATTAAAGGCTGGTAGTCACACAAATGAAAAACAGTAACATTGCAATAAAGCTTTTGGTTTGATAAAATAACATTTTGCCAGATTTACCGTAATCCTCAATGTGAATCATTTTTATTTCAGTCTTGTAATTCTTTTTCTTAGAAACAACTTCTTTCAACACAGGGTTATTTTCCAAAATATAAAACTCTAGAAAACAGAAAGAAAAAMCATGTTGAAAGGCTTGGAGRATCATCACACCAGAGATACATCAARATTCAAGAAGTTAAAAGAGACAAATGCGCAATGATCTTGTAAATTAATCTTGCAATTAATCTTGCCTATTAATTCCCTCTGTAAATACATTTTTTATAATGCAACTACTTTTCAATTCAAAAAGACACACATCCAGTCCATTTTTTGGCTTTGGCAGGCTTTGTTTTCTACGTAATTTCTACAAATGATGTCTCTGATGACCAACATGAATATCAGTCTCTGACAAATCCTAACAGCAGCTGTCAGAGCACAAAGCTGCTCTGCTGGGCAATATCCTAAGCCTCATCCAGGAATTCCTTTCCCCCAGTATTACCTCTTCCAAGGCAATATTTAGCCAGCACAGCTAAATGTGGTCACTGCATGTCCTTATCTGTCTTATCCACTTCAACCAACACCAAGACATTATAAAGCTCCAGACTAATTTCAAGCTACCCTTTTACACAGGAAAGAATTACTAATTTTTTTTTTTTTTTAAATAAACTCAAATTACTGATCTTGCTTCCAAAATTTAGGTTTTTTAAATTAAATAATAAACTCTTCACTTAGGGCCAAAACAGATAATCTGAGGAGAATGCTTGTTCTGGGCAGTGAACCAAAATGGTGTAATTATAGTCAGAGGATGGAATAATTGAAGTAATCTTTAATCATTCCTTTATGAATTGAAGAGGATAATCTCATCTTGCAGTGAAACACTAACAGTAAATTATCTCTCCTATTATTTGGCTTTTTGTTGTTACAACAAACAACATCCCTCTATCCTGACTTRCTTTATTTTACCCTAAGGTGCTTCACATAAATCTCTCTTTCAGTAAATCACATACAACAGTACTTTAGATGCAGGTAATAAAGAGCAAAAGTCTGCCTTCACAGAATTAAGGAGCTCCACAGAAGTCTAAAATGCATTTATTCTGAGCAGTTGCTACCCTTTACTGAGCTGGATAAAACCCCCTGCACTTGGTGGGCCATGGCACTGAGCTTGTCACTAAAAAAAAAAACAAACAAACAAAAAAAAAAGCCGAAGTGCCAACATTAATTAACACTTCATAGCATGGCACTATTAATCAGGATGTACTTCAACAATCAGGATCAGCTCCACTGTTATGGCTGAAYAGTGACTGGCCCATGCACACAGATACAGCTCAGGACTTCCGGATTCTCAGAAAATCCTGGGGATAATCCAATTGATGAAATGAGGATATGCAAGAACTGGTTTAGTGCCTTTAGTGCCTTTGAAAGAAAAGTTGTACCCATTCCTGTAAYCCACACCTCCATGSCAGTGGGGTCACAGTGGAGCTGGARGTRGCAGAGTTGTTACCTCTGCTGCACCCCCAGGAAAACCACTGCTGAAGGACAATCTTCCATTACAAAGCACCTCAGCAGCCAGGAAAGAGCATCAGATTTGGTGTCAATATACAAGAAAATGAGTAAAACTTGACAAAGGTATAGAATACCCTCCTAAAAAGCCTTTACTATTGGATTTGTCTTCACTGAAATACCAGTGGAGTTGTTCTGATTTGCGAAAYACAAGAGAAGGACTAAATCACCRTATGYRGGTCAGYTTTWATGAYCAAWCRTCCAAGAACTGTACCTGACTACAAMATAATTGGATTGCAACTTYAGAAACATCTCTAMAWGTACAGAATTTGCCCTGCAATGGCAGCTTGATATACATAGAAAGCAAAAAGGATGAAGACCAACCTGCCATCTAATTTACTCAAGTGTAAACAGGAGATGAGTCACATGCATTTAGCACAAAACGTATCTGAAAATCTGGGGAAGTTCTACTAATTTCATTCACTACTTATTGTTTTCTGATGTGGATAATGCTAAAAAATAACTAATTGAACTTTCTATGAGTAAGTCATCGTAAGTTTTCTTGCAATGGCCTTTCCCCTCTCCCACACCCCACAGAACCATCAAGGATGATAAGAAAATTTACTTTTTTCACAAGGTATACTCACTTGCAGTATTACTGGTCCTGTGCACACTTACAACTGGAACACCTGGTCCTGTTTTGAGAAGAAAAACAGAAGGAAGGTGAAGCAGTTAGTACTCAACAGCTCAGTTACAAAGAATGAGAGGAGCAGTTATCACACAAAATGGGATCCTGAAGTTCTGTGCATGCACTTCCTTCAAACAGAGCAGTAACTCCATTTGTGCCACTTGGGAAGGACACAGGCTGGGCYACAGGACCAACAAAGAGTGAAACAGAAACTGCCTTCTGCCTGTTCAGCAGCCCAGACCCTGCACCCAGAGGGAGCTTTTTTTTTTTTTTTTTAATCTCCAGGTTTTAGTAATAAGTGAAGAATAAAAAAATCATGGATGTGCCTAATGCATRGTCTAAAATACAGCAGTTTTGACACTCAGAAACTTTAGGCTGACTGGGAAGTGATTTAATGCTAATATTCACTTATATTTTCTATGGAAAAAACTACAGAGGTGTTGAAAAATTGTATTTCACTTAATTATCTGTTTAAGAAGTTCCCTCAGTGTGCCAACATTGCAAAACCAACAGCATCACCGTTAAATCTAGGTGTGATGCAGTCTGATCCTATTTCACGTACTTTATTTTTCTGTACAAAGAAACTAAAAGCATCAGGAATATTTCTTCATGTCAACAGCTRCTGAGCAGATGCACAAGGGGTGTGTGAAAGTGGAATGGCCAAGTTTGCTGTCACTGCTCTGAAGATCCCCACTAATGTGAACCTAAAACAGGAAATTCTGCATTCCCACCTCCAACAYAGAATTTACTCCTGAGAGGATTAGTTCTATCTCAGAGTTTAAATTACAAACATTCAGTCACTGCTGGGAGAGGAAGAATGACACAGAAAAGATGAAGTCCCTGAGGACCCCATGGMAGATGAAGGCAAGGACCCTCTGAAATTAGGAGTTACAATTCTCTTTTTGAGAAAAAAAAAACAATTCCCTTTGAGAGTTCAGACACAGAGCTTAATTTATGTGTTTTGAGAGGTTGTCTCTCTCAATTAATTATGGCACAAGCCTAGGGAAATGCAAATACCTGAAATAAATAGCATGATGACATTCACAGCCTTCACTGAAGACTTTGATCAGTTGCATTCTCTGCCTCAAGGGGGATGATTGACAAAAAYCTTACAGGTAGATGGTTGACAAATCACAGCTTTTTGCCTCTCTATGAAGATAATTTCTTCAKATGTCTCTTTTGCTCTGGTTTGTCTTTATTTCCAGCTCTTTTTACTCTAGCTGAATTTCTCATTTTGCTTTAAATTCTTATTTAAGAAAKACCATTTCTGAGGGGGAAAGCACCGGTGTTTTCCAGCCCAGCTCTATTTGTCATACTAGAAGATGGAAGGATGGTGACAGATTTTGAGAAAAGGGAGATTGCAGAAGATTAAAATGCTGATCAGAGAAGAAAAAACCAGATTTGTGTTGCAGGCATTGTATTACAGAGCATCAGAACTAAGCACAGCACTTGGATTTCCCATTGACCCCCTATCACTAACCCCAAACACACAGCTTATTTCTTGCTTGATAAAAGGGGGGAAACAATTACTCCCCCTGTGAACTATCTTATTTGAGTGGAGAGAATAATATCTTGCTAGTGTTTATAAAGTGCTAAAGGAAAAATCCACAAGCAGTGTGGAAAGTAAGTGCAAAGGATGTGCTTGGCAAAACTGAGGGGCTGAGGAGCCACTTYTCAATCTGCCAGACAAGAAATAACTCCTCACTCCAGGAGAGTCTCTGGAGATGGATACAGCTGCTAAAATGAGAGACATTTCCTGGCTGAGGGAAACTAAGAAGGAAAAACTAYCCTAATAAAGGTGCTCGTGGGTAAACAGGAGGTTGAAGAATTGAAATTTGTACAGATCCAACCAGTCCAGAGTCCCCCAAGGGCTTTCCTGGGCAAATTGCTTTTGTAACAATTCAGCAAAGGCTTTTTACTGCAGGAAAACAAGGAGATGTGCCATTTTTCTCCTCGAAGCAGTTTGCCTCATACTCCTGCAAGCAGAAGAGTTTTGGTGCCTGTTCTATGCTGACCTTGCCACCAACTCTGGTGCTGCCAAATGCCCAACCCAGCCCTCCACGGGGCCACGCYGCTGCTGGAGCTGCCAAGCTCTGCTGAAACACAGAAAAGCACTGAACAACTCCCTGCCAGCAACTGCACATTAATGCCAGAGCCGGGAGAAATGAATGACAGTGGTTTAGCACCCCCGCCCAAAATCTACAGCTCAGGGCAGCCCACTGGTCACACTCAACAGAGTGTGGGTTTAATCCTGGGAACTGCCCTCTCCAAAGGCACTGAAAGCCATGAGCTGGTGAGTTAACACATGCACAACACCCTACTGGCATCCATATTTTTATATCAAAGGAACACGTTAAAAATTACAGGCTGAATGTTTTTTGCTGAAATAAAAACAAGATGTTTTTGGGTCCTAGCACATTGCTGATTCAGGGCAAAAAAACTCTTCCCAGTTTATCAACCGTCCCTCCTGCAGGAATCTGAGACTCATCCCATAGAGATTAATTCCAGCACAAGGGAAAACTTTGCTTAAAGCATGAGGAGATCATTACTCAGGGAAGAACTTCAAGATTAGCACCATCACTTCCGCTGCAGATTTTACCATGTATAAACCATACTTTGCATATTCTTCTTCTAATCAGCTATGTTTTCTAGGTGCACTTCCAAAAAAAAAAAAAACCAAAACCAAACCAAAACAAAACAACAAACCAACCCAAAACAACAAAACCAAAAACAAGCACCTTATTTTAGCCAATATATATTCATGGTTTCTTTGTCTGGACACATTCAATGCTCAAGTCAGAAGGTATTTCATTTTTGTGGGYGARAAAAAGAAAAAAAAA